CACCGGGGGGGGGAGGGCGGGCCCCCCCGCCTGCCGTAGGGGTGTCTGTCCTCGCTTTCAAGGTTCAACTGGGGAGCAAATAAACTCGGGGTCCCGGCTTGGCTTGGGGCTTGCTGGCCCTCCCTGGGCAAGAAGCGTGGAGGCTGAGCTGAGAAGGTGCAAAGCCGGAGCTCCCAGCTGGTAGCTGCTCCTCTGATTTTGCTGGGAAACGTGCTGGATGTCTGCAAGGCACCCAGGACTTCGGAGCGTGGCCGGTGTGGGTGCAGGAATGGGGACCAGCTCTGCCCTGCTAAGCTCGACTCAGCAGCTGGCCAGGGGCGCGAGGCAGGCATGGAGCTCACCCGGCAAACCGCTGCTTGCCCCATCCCGGCTCTGCAGTGGACGGTGCCCTCTGCGCGCTTGGGTGGCTGATGGCCGTCACCTCTGTGGCTCGTGCCTGGGGGTGAGCAGAGCCTGGACCCCACTTTGGGCTCACCGCAGGAGCGAGAAGGCTTCGCAAGCGATGCTGCCTTTGCTGCTGTCTCACCTGTGGGATCAACCTAGCCACAAAGACAAGGGATATGTTGGGGCAGGGGGGTCCCAAACGTCCTCCTAAGGGCTGTGGGAGGTGATGGGCAGGAGGCTGCTTTGTGTGCCTGATGGGCCAGGGTGACTCAGCCTGGCTCTGGGGCAGGGGACATGCCCAGGGCTCTGCATGGGCCTTGTGCAGCCATAAGTTAAGGGTGGGCACGGTAGGCTGCAATGCGCTGCGAAGCTGCAGCCTGTGAGAGGCCTGCATGTTGGGATCCCTTCTGCTTTTGATCTTGCCTCTCTGGGAAGGTCTTTCCTGTTCCCTGAGCCACAGTTTGACACCTTGGGTCCTGTTTTTTTACCCAGCCGTGCCTGTTTCCTGCATAGGAATATGCCAGGGGGTGCGCAGAGCTGTGGGGAGGGTCCGGGTGGCACATGGGGGGCTCTCTGTCTCCTGCTGCACCCCAAATGGTGGGTGGAATGTTGCCTACCTCTGCACCCTGTCCCCATCGGGCTCTCCCACCCAAGCTCTCCCCTGCTGCAGCCCCCAGCAGTGAAAGGATGAAGGGATGTGTCCCGCAGCATCTGGCCTCCCTTCTCCCAGCTCACGTGTTTTGACCACTTCCCACTGGATTTGAGTGAGATGTGGGGTATCTTGGGGAGCCCTGTGTGACCTGGGGTGCAGCTGTTGCTAGGGCCTTGCTGGCTGCCCTGCTTTTACTGCTCTATGGACAACTGTGCACCTCCCTGGACCTTCCCTAGAATGTCCCTCCTCCATCCTAGGTGTCCCGTCACCTCGTGAGGCCCCTGATTCGGATGAGCCTGGCGCTGCAGTACCAGGTGCAAAAGCTGACCTTCCTGCTGCTCCAGAAGGATGCTGAGATCGAAGACTACAGGGAGAATGGGGCCACTCTCAGCAGAGGTGATGAGGGATGCCAGGGGCCAAGAGAGAGGAGAGAGCAGGGAGTGAGTTTCCTCCCTAGCACAGGGCTGGTGTGCTCTGCTCCCTCCAGTTATTAAGCAGCCAGGCTTGCGTTTCATGTTCAGCTGCACCGGCAGTGAGACGGTAGCCAGAAGGCTGGGGAGCAGCCCCTGGGGAGAGCTGGGGGAGGAATGGCCATTGACCGGTAGCTGGAGGAGTTGGGGAGTCGCCAAGGGGCTCTCCGCTTTGCCGAGAGCACCTGGCCGCTCCCCAGCCGGTGGGGATGCCAGCAAGGGCCGGCCCTGGAGCGGTGTCAGGCTCCCTTCCCAAGTGCGGTAGCTTGCCGAGCGCTTGGAGAGCAACCAGGGGCTCCCAGCTTTCCCCGCCGCAGGATGCACAGCCGTGCACGTGGGCCCCCCTCCAGCGCCCAGCCTGCGTCACCATCGGGGAGGACAGGCAGGCAGAAGCCCCCTCTTTTAGAATGTGGATCAGGACCTGCCTGGGGGAGCCACCTTGGGGGGAGGGTTGTCCTCCGCCCATGGAGTTTGACTGAGCACTGTTTTTCGAGTTGTCCTTTGCTAGTGCCGTGCTCTGTCCTGCTGCCAGAGGTGATACCTACCAGATCCCTTCTCCAGGAACCTTGCCCCCCCAGGATGTGTGGTCTGATGGGGGTCCACCCTGACTTGTGTATCATGGCCAGGAAGGTGATGTGGTCCAGACCCTGTCCCATGGCAGGTGCCCCACCACAGGAGCCTGGATCTGCCCGGCAGATGCACTAGAGCTGTGTCAACTGTCCGCGTTCCCCTCTTCTGCTGCATGCCAGCTCTGCAGGGCTTGGAGCAGCCAGGGCAACCCGCTTTGGGTCCAGGGACTGATGCTGGTGGGCAGGCGGCCTCACTTGTCCCTTGCCTGTGCAGGGCAGGAAGCTGGGAGGAAGCTTTGCCCCAGTGCTGCTGAGCAAATCTGGCCAGGCAACATCTTAGCAATGATGGGGAAAAATTACTGTTTTGAATAAGGCGCAGGGCAGAATGAGCTATAACAGGGGTTTGTCCCTGTCCCGCAGTGCTCAGACCCAGGCAGCTCTTTCAAGCTGTAAGATCTGGGAATGGCGCTGAGCATGTCCTGCCACTGTCCCCTGCTCCTCTGTGCATGAGGGTGCTGGGACAAGTGTGGATGTGCTCTGGGCTCTGCTACCTGACTGCTGTGTGCATCAACAGGCGCAATCTTATTCTCCCACTTCCCTGGGGTCCTTGCACCTTCTGCTAACTGGGTGATGTGTCCCTAGCCGAAGGGGCCCGCTGACCTCTCCCTCTGACTTTGGGATGAGCTGCTGGAGCATCCTGTTCCCCTGCAGCCCCCTTGCCCCACAGGCAGGGGAAGGGGAAGCCGGGGTGGGAGGGCTGGCCAGACCTGCATGGGCTCATCCCTGCTCTCTCTTGCAGACCGCCTGCAGACAGAGCCTTTCCAGGAAGCAGTGTTTCAGCAGAACTTCATGGCTGAGGTAAGGAGCAGTGCAAGTCCTCCTGCCTTCAGCAAAGGGGTGGTGGGGAGCCGGCACCAGCAGCCCCACTGTGAGGTGGCACTGGTGGGGATGGCTGGACTTGCCTGGAAGGGGGTAATGCCCACTGGCTCTCCCGAGGCCCTCCTTGTGTCCTTGCACCTGGTCTAAAGGCGAGCAGAGCTGGGGGCAGGCCTGGCATGGCTGGATGGGGACGTGGCACTGTGTTTTGTCACCCTCTCACCACTGCCAGGGAGTTGCCAGGGGTGCGAGCCGGGCTGGCTGCTCCACGGGAGTGTGCCATCGCTGGGGCTTCCTCACTTGTCTCCCGCATTTACTGTGGACCTGAAACACTCCTGCTGACAGCAGGCAGAGAGCAGGTGAACGAGGAGAAGCCATCTGCTCCATTTCGTTCATCTGCTGCTTTTAGGGCTGGCTTTGCAGTGGCACATTGTGGGGACAAGTGCCTTTCAGCCTGTTGTCTGTGCTGTGCCCACCACTCTCCTCCTGGCGTGCTTGGCTCCAAAATCAGACATGTGCTTCAAGAAACTGGGGCTGGAAGGAGAGAGTCTTTCCTCTGATCCTTTTTCATTACTGGAAATAATCACAGAAGCACTAAAATGATTCAAACCAATATGGCAAGATCAGAAATGACTGATGCTCATTGATGCAAAAAGACTCAGGATGCTTGAGTGTTCCTGTGCTCACTGTGAAGGCACAGGAGTGGGGAGCAGCCGTGTCTGCTGGGGACCAGGGAGTTCAGCCAGTGTGTCTGTGGTATCACATGGGCTTTGAGAGGACATCGCTTTGTGACACACATGCTGATGCTCTTGCATAGCCAGCAATAAACCATCTGCAGAGTTTCTAAAAATTAGAGATGATCCCTCTTATATGAGAGGCATTGCATCCAGTGCAGGCAACTTTCGTTTCCCCCTGGTTATGATGGATAGAGATGAATTCACTGCTGGACTGCAACTTGGAGGTTGCCTAGGGACCGATGATTATGACCAGATTACATTCACCCTGGGCAAAGAAAAGACATTCCTAAACAGTAATTTATATCCTTCATGCTTTGAAAGGGCTAATTTCCCAAAGCAGGGGGAAAATTATGAGTGAAATCAGCTCAGAGGAAACATTTAGATAGAAAAATGTGAATGAAAATGGTGAGCTCTTTCAGAAGAATTTCAGAACCACAAAAAGCCACAATTCCACAATCAAGAAAGAGGGCAGTGCTGGCCGAGAGCCCGTTCTGGTTCAGTGGCAAAGTGAAGGCAGCAATTAGAAATAAAAGAGCAGTTTATAACAAATGGGAGAGCGGGAGTAGATAGCAATCAATATAAATTAGAAATTATGAAGTGTAGAAAATGGATAACAGAAGCTAAAGACATCAGGGAAAAATCATGGCGAAGGACAGAAGGAAACAGTTTTATTTAGTGTAGTAGGAGAAAAACCCCAAGCTCCCAGCAACGGGATAAGCTTATTAGTAGATGGAGGTGGTAAAATGATTGATACTGGAGCAGACATGGCAGAAGCAGTCAGTAAATGTTTCGGTGCTGTCGCTGGAAGGATGCAGGCGGATGTGTCAGGATCGGGGGATGATGAGGCATGTCTTTGTCCAAGGGTCAGCTGAACAACATCTGCTAAAGATGAACGTCAGGCTTGAAACTCAGAGTCCTCCAAGAGCTGGTAGGGTGTGGGTCACAGGGGAAGGTGCTTGGTGGTGCAGGGTGGGCAGGAGGGGAATGAGGTAGCCCTGCACAGAGACTTGCGAAAGCAGCTGGTGGGGAGCTCATCTGGCAGAGCCTTAAAAGATGGGAGGGCAGTTGGTGCTGTGTGTCCCAAGAACAATCCAGGAGCAGTGTCTTGGGGCTGGAACACCGGACGGGGAATGGGAAGGTTTGGGAGATGCTCCCTCTCTGCATCCCCTGTCAGCCAGGTCTGAGCACTGGCCTGGGGAGAGAGGCTGGTGGAGGGATGCAGTTGTGCATTCAGTCTGCCTGGGGGGATCTGTCCTCTCTGCATTCATACCATTGCTTTATAAACCTGCTGATGATGCTTTTGGCCCATGTACCATCCTGCAGCAATGAGCCATGAGATGCGAGCAGCTGCTGCCTTTGGTTTGAATGCGGTACCCCGTCGTTCCTCCTGATGTCTCCCAGGTCTTGCGTTAGTGAGGAACATCAAACATGGCTTTGCAGCTCTCCACTACCAAAACTGGCTGTTCACCCCACTGTCCCCCATCTTCCTGCAGCAGAAGGGTGGGCTGGATGATCTCGTTGTCTCTGGGCAGGTATTTCAGAGCCCCCAGGCAATTTAATACTCCATTTTCCAGCTTCAAAAAGGAGAAGCATGAGGGGCTGGGGTCCCTTGGGACATGCCACAGGGAGCCAGGAACACGGCGACCGACTCCCGTGTCTGGGTTTTCAAAAAGATGCCAGACAATCAGCATGGAGTTACAGGAATGAATTGAGGGCTGGGGAAAGAGCCCGGCATTGAGAAACTTGGAAGGGAAGAGCTCCGTCTAGCTTATCAGGGAGAAAATTGAGAGGCGCCTTGATTACAGTGCGTGAGGGTCTTTACAAGGAGAAAATGCTGGTTAGTGAAGGGCTCTCTTTAATCTCGCGGGGAGCAGCAGAGCATGAGCCAGGCACCGGGAGCCGGATCCAGATCCAGGCAATTTCGAGCTAGGACAGAGGCACTTGGGTTTGCTCCCATGGACGATTAGTGATTGGGGCACGTTCCCAAGGGCACTGGTTGATCCTCCATATCTTGATGTCTCCAAAAGGGGGCTGGGAGCCCGCCTGGAAGAAAACCAAGTTGCTGGGCTCAGTCTTGGGATGTGCATGGTTGAACGTCAGTGGGCAGGAGGTCAGGAGGAGAGGTCTGATGGTCATTCCAGCCTCTCCCTCTGGGAAATGGAGCTTCAGGTTGTGGATGTTTGGTAGCGGTAAGCACCTCCTGGCTGGAAAGGGATTGTGATCGTGTGGCACAGGGCTGGCGGGTTACGGGAAATCACTCCACAGCTTTGCTCGCTTCCCAAACATTTGCCGCATACCCCGTGGAGAGGAAAGGACCTGCCAGTCCCCCAGGGCAGAGCTGCACTGCCTCTCGGCTTAAACATGCCCTTTCCCTGGGTTTGTGTGCACTCAGCTGTCCAGGACATTTTAACTAATCATGGGGAGTTTTCCAGCAAAGCCCTGGGAATATTTATACGTTTAGGAAACGACGCTTTCACACACGCAGTTTTTGGCAAGGGTTCACTGCTGAGCAGCTGCCTGGGCTTGGGCAGAGCTGGAGGTAGAGCGGCAGCCGCGCGTGAGCCGAGGCAAAGCCGGCAGCTTTTATTGGCAAGCCCAAGGGGTTCACACCATGAGGGGAAAGAGCAGGCGGCCGAAGAGGGCTCAGCGCCTCAGGGCTGCCCCGGCACCCTTCCCAGCAGCCTAGAACCTAGCAGGTTGGGGGTATTTTGTCTCCAGCTGTCCCTTTGGTTTGCAGAGATGACCCCGCAGGGCAGCGTGGGGTGTCCACCCATGGGTTTTGAGAGCTTGCCCTGGCCTGGCTATGGTTGACGTTTCGTGACACAGCTTCTGCCAGAGCCCGTGGTCCAGATCCCCGATGGGGTGCAGAGTCAGGGGGTCCATGCAGTGCCGTGCCCCCTGCCCTGGGAAGCACAGGGACAGGTACGCTGGGGACAAAGTCACCGATACCATCAGTGCAAATATGGCCCCCGTGCCCCAGGATGCTTTGCCCTGCGTATTTTTATCTGCCGCGGCCGGCGCGCGTGGGGGCGGCTGCTCCGCACCTCCGCAAGCTGAGCGCGGGACCTCGGCAAACAGGACGCAGCGGGTTCACGGCTCGACCCCGAGGCCCGGCGAGGAGGAGGAGGATGTGCCATCAAAACAAGCAACGCCAGAGAGGAAGATAAACAAACAGGCGGCTTCCAGCGTGGCCCCGGCCGAGGGCGAGCGGGAGCCCCGGGGCCAGGGCTGGCGGCGGTGCTGGCGGCGGTGCCGGCTGACGTCAGGGCGCCCGGGGGTCAGCGTCCCTCTTATTGTTCCCCACCGGGGCTGGGACGGGGGCCAGGCGCCCGTCCCCCTCCCGCGAGGGGACACGGGCCAGCGGGGCAGGTGGAGGGCGGCCAGGGCACCCGCCGGAGCCACCGGCCATCGCTGTCCTGGGGTCCAGCTGGGCACCTGCCTGCACGCTGCCTGCCTCCAGCGCCCTGCTTGTCCTTTTTAACAGGCACTAAAAATAAGCCCCGGGGAGCGGAGCTGCCGCAGTCTGGCCGAGGGCGAAGGCGGCGGTGGGCCGTGCATTTTGCAGGGCGGGGACGGCATCCCTCAAACCCGCGCCAGCCCGGTGCGGCGGGGAAGAAGCGGCCCTTTGGCTCCTTCCAACGAGGGATGTTTTTAATTAGTGCAAGGTAGCTGCGGCTTTGCAGCTGCGACCGGGCCAGAGCGGGGCCAGCAGCGTGGGTGCGACATGGGCTGCTCGCACGCAGGGTGTATGGCTCTGGGGGAGAAGATGCCACGGGCGCTCGGCCGAGCTGGGCTCCCTGGGCGCGCGGCTGGGGAAGGAGCCGGCGGCTGTTGCCAGCAGGGCTGAGCAGTGCAAAAGTTGTAAGGCCCTGGGCAGGCTGGGTCGGGGCAGAGGTGGCAGCATGGGGCTGGCTTTCGGGGACGTTTGGATGAGCAGAGCAAGCATTTCTGTGCAGCCAAGCATCTGTGCTGTTCTCATTAAGTGAGACCCATGGGTGCCTGTGTCCTGTTCTGGATTGGAGCCGCTTGTGGGGTCCTTGCTTCATTCCTGAACAAGCCTTGGTCACCCCATCTCATTGCTGCTCTGGGGTCCGGGTCCCGTGCTGGAAAAGTGGTGGGCTGCGGTCATGCTGGGGGGAGTGGGGCACACGCTGCCCTGCACACGTGTGTACGCAAGGAGCTGCACGCTGCTGCAATCAGAAGGAGCAGAGGGTCGCTTCTGCTCAGCGTGAGCATATGTGCCAG